GTGAATCCACATATCATCATTATCTTACGGAGTTGCATCAGACAGCAGATCTGCCTGTATATGCAAAACTGCTGAAGCCAGTCAGAATTTGGTGTTTCCAGTCAGTTAAATAACATTTTCATACAACATAACTTATCTGTATGGTACCTCAGTTTGCACAACATAATGTCACACTGGACAACATTTTGCTAATTTATATTATGTGTGGGTCTGCTGTAGAATATCTATAAAGAACTCAGCAATTTTGCATTTAACTGCAATTTAACGAGTTTGTTTGCCCATATAATCTTAAGGAAATTGTGTGTAAACTTATTTGGCTTGATGTCCACTGATGAGGGGCTCGATGAAGCAGCTTCAACTCAAACTCTGATACCCCCCCCCACCCCCCCCCAGGGTAAAACCCAAGGTTGAAAATGTTAACATAAGGGGATAATTATATTAAAAAGTTTATGTTTCAGCCTCCATTACAATATTTTATGAGCTCTATGTATGTGTTATTATTTATTACCTTGAGACTAATCAAAACTTTGTAATTTCAGAGGTTATGGGATGTTATCATGTTCACATTTTATACTAATAGCCTCATTAAACTTTCAACAATGTTAATAGCAGTGTTAAACTTCACAGAAATGTATTTACCACATTAAAATGACTGCTGTGAGGACACTTTAATTTGTAATTTGGCCTTACACTATTTAGTTGTTGCCTTGGCCTTTAAAGATCAGTAGCAAGTCTGCCTGGAAAGTCGTCTCCTCACTGCCTGCTCATCATGGAGACACAGCACAAGCATGTTTGCATGCTTTGATGGCTTTATTATCTCTGTGGAAACAGGGGCAGACATAGTCAGGTTAAAGGGCTTGTGCTAATGCGCAAACAGGAATAGCTACACCATCATTAGTGCAGCAAGCAAAAGATTTGAAGGTTAAACTCAAAAAGGCAAATGATACTTTCAACTTCAAGGTGATGTGGTCATAATTCTTACTGATGGTGATATGATAGCAATTTCACTGATGGACATGTTATGCATTTACTGAGTGGTGCAGAATACGTTTTTCCTCTTAAAGGGATACTCCACCCTAAAATGAAAATTTTGTCATTAATCATTACCCCCATGTTGTTCCAAACCCGTAAAAGCTTTGTTCGTCTTCGGAACACAATTTAAATATTTTGGATGAAAGCCGGGAGGCTTGTGACTGTCCGGTTGACTGCCAAGTAAATTACACTGTCAAGGTCCAGAAAAGTATGAAAGACATAGTCAGAATAGTCCATCTGCCATCAGTGGTTCAACCATAACATTATGAAGCGACGAGAATACTTTTTGTACGCGAAGAAAACAAAAATAACGACTTTATTCAACAATTCGTCTCCTCTGTGTCTCTCCGCATCACCGTAGCGCCATTTTGGAGAATTACCACTGAACGCAAGCAGCGTACGCTATTCTGTGTCAGCCGTGCTGCACGGATGCGCTGTTTTCATTCAAATCAAAGCGTAAATACACGTAGAAAACGTATCCTTGTGGCTGACATTAAAATTACTGGCACCAATGAGAAAAAAAAATCAACGTATACATTCCCAAGGTGTTACTTTCAGTAGGATCAGGTTTTATAGTTAGATGAGACCAAAATATTTTTTGTAGATTTTTATTTATTCATTTATTTTTGTAGAAAGATCAATTTCTTTTTGAAAAACTACATTTACATAAAATTACTGTGAAACTAAAGCCTTTCTTCAGAATAAAAAAAAAAAACTGAAGACAAAGATGATAAAAATAAATAAGGTTTATTGTATAAATATAGTCAATCTGCGAGATAGCAGCTATACACCAACAATACCAAACAACTAAAAAGTGAACAGAGTAACTTAAATACACAGTGATAATAAACTAAAGGGAGAACAGGTGTGCTGATTAATGAGTGTCCATGACAACAAAAGAGTGGCGGGAAAACTGCACAAAAGACAGGAAACTAATGAAAACAAATTAAAAGTCCATAATAATGAAACTAACTAAACAGAACTGTGACAGTTATCTAAATGGGGATATTGCATAGACTTGCATTGTTTTTATATACAGTAATGAATACTATAATACTTTATCCACTTTATCATCATATTGTTTTTACAAATGAAGACATTCCCAAAATGAGGTTTTGTAATATTTTGTCAGGTTTAGCTCACTTCTATAAATTTGTCAACAAAATATGGTTAAGTGGGTATATGAACACAAACACACAAACACACACACACACACACACACACACACACACACACACACACACACACACACACACACACACACACACACACACACACACACACACACACACACACACACACACACACACACACACACACACACACACACACACACACACTCACTCACTCACTTTATCCTCTGGCAGGTTGCTGAGCCCAAGTGTTTAATTGGTGGTGGATCAGGTGAAGTGTATGCAAGGTCAGGTCCAGTTTAATTGAAGATTATTTGCTTATTTACTCAAGCACATTCAGCGCTAAATACCTTGGATCAAAAAAAAGAGCAGACATTGTCAAACCCTCGGGTTCAGCGCTTCATGCAATTAGAGACTTATCCCTGACAGCAATTCCAATTATTTCACAGCTAACCAGGAACTGGATGGAATGTTGAAGCTTGTAGCTTCTCACTCAGTTAAAGGGTTAACCAGTTACATAATCGGGATACGAAAAAATAACTAATCTGTTACAGTACTATAGACACATGAACAGTAACAAAAAATCTAAAGATGAAAAAATAAAAATAATCAGATTACTAGGATTACATTTTTGGCAAAATAGCAAATCTTAGCATAGGTGACACTCTGTCATTTACACTACTTAGTTAGAAGCAACCCAATTTGGCTCATTTTGGCAAACCAGTGCAGGGGTTTTCCCTGTTTGCTCCAGCTGGGTTGCGTTAATTGTTTGACCCAACATGCAGGCTTTTTTTTTTTTGAACTGAACTACTGAGTAAAAAATTACTATACTGGTTAAAATGAACCCCAAATGGTCTGGAAATTAAAATCACTTTAACACATGCAACATAACTAGTAACAACAAAGGCAACAGTATTATTTAAAAGGTAAATATTTATTGATAAGCAACACCTATAGATGGACAAAAGGACAAGCAAAAGTAAAAACAAAGTGAGAATATGTCCACTCTAAGAAAAATATGTACAAATACAGTCCAATGTACTGAATTTTCTTCATCTTCCAGGTGTTTTACCCACATTTTGAATTATGCATTGTGTTGTGTATTAAAGGAAATATTTGTAAAAAAAATTTGTATGTGAGAGAGGGAAAAAATGTAGAAAATACTGGAAACTCAGTTCTACAGTGTCACAAACTCCAAGGAAGATGATGAATAATACAAATAAAACAAGGTTTATTAAAATAACTTAAAAGATAACCAATCTGCAAGAGTTGTGTTCAACACAAACAATACCAGACAAATGAAAGGTGAGAACATAGCTACTTAAATAAATGGCAAAGGGTAATAATGGAAAACATCTGTGCTGAATAAATGAATATCCATGACAGCTAAAGAGTGGCGGGGAAACTGAACAAAGGAAGACAGAAAACTAGTGAAAACAAAAGTCCATGAAAAAAGAAACTTAAGAATGATTATCTGTGACATACAGTGTAAACTAAATTGCTTTTTAAATGTTTAATGAACATTGTTGAATAATATTGAATAACTTGGACTGAAGACCAAATTTGAAAAGTTAAAAAAAAAAATGTATTCCGCCAACGAAAACAGTCCCTCTATGTTTAAAGTGTTTTTAATCATTCTTCTCTGTGTTTGATGTTCATTTCCAAAATCCTGTCCCATCTTGATTTGTCTTTTGATGTTCCATTGCATATCGGCTTTGTGTCATAACGTGGGAGATCACTAAGCATAAGGTTATGCAATCAGAGGTTAACTATCTGCTGGGGTTCACCTTGTCTTCATGATCCTAAGAGCGAAGGTATTGTGCATTTCTATACTGACTACATGAACGTCCATGTACTGTAATTACAAAGCCTGACTCATTTCCTCTACATTACATTGTGTAGATAAGGTTTATGTAAAAAAAATTGCTTAAAGGCTACTTGCAACTCCAATGCAATGTCCTATATCATACTGTTATGGCATACAGCCATCAAAATTAGGAGAAAGGAGAAGAATTAGGAGAAAGGCCTTTGGAGTGGTAGGACCAGGACCATCTAACGCACTGCAGTCTTATTGATATCACTTTATTAATTCACATATCCTAACACTCCAAAGTCAAAGCTTTTTTCTTTTTTTTTTACAGAAAAAAGTGCCATAAAATATATTTAAATAGTTAGAAAATCTGAGAGGTTTAGGTGACAATTACAAGTATTTACTCTTTTTAAAACAAATAATAAATCCTGGCTGACCCTTCATTGGACTGATAACCAATGAAGAGTGACCAAAATCGTTGATATGCTGTTCTTTCTAGTTTCTGTCAATTGTCTAGCAGCAGCATTTGGGGTGCAGGTACATGTGATACAGAGATGAGTGACAAAGGCATGTAAAAAGCATTACAGTAATGATAATCAAGACACTTTAACATCTGTAACCCAGTTGAATTCATTGGGGTTTGGAACTTATACTGTACACCATGTTGGGGCTAAACAGATGACAGATGGGAGGTGCCATGACAGCCCAAGTGAACACAGTGAAATGATAAGCTGTTGTGAACATTTGAAGCCAAAGCAATGCCAGTGATTGTGTAAAATTTTAAGAATGAATGTTGAACAGACTATAAGTCTTCCTGGAACCCAGCTGCGACTGTACTGCATTTAGGTTTCAAAACTCAAGTTGTGTTCATTTGTGTAGGTCAGGGGTGTCAAACTCAGTTCCTGGAGGGCCACAGCTCTGCACAGTTTAGATGCAACCCTAATTAAACACACCTGATCCAGCTAATCAAGTCATTAAGTCTTATTTGAAAACTACATGGTATGTGTGTTGGAGCAGGGTTGGAACTAAACTATGCAGGGCTGCGGCCCGCCAGGAACTGAGTTTGACACCCCTGGTGTAGGTTATCATGATGAACCAAACATGTAAGAATCATAAACCTTTGTTGGAGTTTATTTTATGCAACAATCCAAAAGCCAATGGAAATTATTGGGTTTTTGTCAAGGGAATCAAGGTGATGCTAACTCCAGGTAGGCCTACAAAATATGTCATCCCTGCAGCACTGTATTTGTCAACGTAAGTGTATTTTTCAATGCTTACATTGAGGTAACTACATGTAATGGAGGTAGTGAAGGGCATACCTCATGCTAGATCTCTGAATTTTGTATATGTATGTAATATGTAGGATATTTTATATATAAAATTCAAATTTTATGATTTGTTTTGAGCTGATAACCTTCTATATACTGGCGTATTGCACAGGTGAGGGTTCAGTGTATTGGGCAAATAGCATAGGAGACAGTGGACACCCCTGTCCAATGCCGCAGACCTGCAAAATGGGTTTGATATGATTTTATTTGTTATAATGGATACCATGGGTGAGGAATAAATGCTGATCCATTTGAAAAATTGCTGCCAAATCCAAATTTCCCCAAAGTGCTTAGGAGGAAAGGCAGAAGATTTGGAACATCCATTAAAATGTCAAATGACAGATGTGATTGCAATGTTTTGATCAGAAGGAGCAAAAATATGCAATTGTGTATAATGAAAACATCTTCTATCCTTCCATTTTCCAAACTGCTTGTTCTATACAGGGTTGTGGGGATGCTGGACCCTATCTCAACGCCTCAAGCCATAGGCAGGGAAACCATCCCTGGGATTACACAGACAGACATTCACACCTATGGACAATTTAGTGTTTCCATTTCACCTATCCTCTATCCTGCATGTCTTTGGATTGTGGGGAAACCAGAGCACCTAGTTGACACCCTCCAGTGTTTCCTTGCTACTGTATCTTAGGGTAACTTAATCAATGGCAAGAGGAAATGTCAGGCCATCTCAGCAATTCAGCATTATTTTAGGCCATTCTTTGAAAGATATGTACCTGTGTACCTTTTCTACAAAAATACAGTAAGGCTTTCAAACTCTGCTTTGCTGAGGTGAAGTGTTTGCACTGAAGTGTTCTTCAGTTCTAATTCTTAAAATAAAAGTGAATGTAATAAACATATTGTTATTTAAATTCAAGTAGTATATCTGGCTCTAGGCCTACTATAAAACTATAAAACTTTTAGCAAAATCTTTACTTTTTCATTCTATCAAACCTTTGAATTTTCTGCAGCATGTTTGCTATTCAAATTCAAGTCAAATTCAGACAATGAATGTTAACGTTTTCAATTGTAAATGGCACACAGTAAAGTGATACCACTGCGAAGGTCAGCACACCACCCTCCCCCACTTCTCAATCCCTTGTTGCATCTCTCCTTCTTTCTCTCACTCTCTTGTATCACTGCCTGTATTTCCTCCTCTCCCATTCCACACACAGACGTTTTGACATACAGTTTTATCTGTTACGTCATATTTCTTCCCTGTTTTAATCAAACAGTTGGGTGGCAGGCTGACTGCCTCTCCTCTCCTCTCCTCTCTTTTAAATATTTAAAATATCCATATAGAATTGGACTATAATCTCTGCAGTTTCTATATTTTACATATCCTAATAAATTCCATATTCTGTTGGCACCATGTTATTATAAAATATTATTGTGTGTGTGTGTGTGTGAGTGAAAAAGTGTTTTTGAGGCCATGCAGATACACTACCATTTCAAAGATTGGTGTCAGTAAGATTTATTTATTTTTTTTTACAAAAATTAATATTTTCAGCAAGGATGCATTAAACTGATTAAATAGTAAAGGCATTTGCAATGTTACAAAATATTTCTATTTCAAATAAATGCTGTTCTTTCAAGCTTTCTACTCATCAAAAAATCTTGAAAAAATATGTATTGTGGTTTCAGCAAATTTTGCAGCATTCTGGAGTAATGGCTGCTGAAAATTCAGCTTTAAATTATATTAAAATAGAAAACAAATCAATTAAACTAATAATATTTCACAATATTACTGTTTTTAAAGTTTGCAAAGTTTAAATGTAGATGGCTTCTTTTAAGATGGCTTCTTGTTCCTCCCATCACTTTTCTCTCTCCCTGATGTGCCACTCAAGGCAGAACTGCTCTGGCTTCTGCATCTCTGTCTAGCATGATGTACAGGGGTCAATGACAGTGGTGAGGAATGTTCAGTGATCCAGGGAGAGACAGGATTGCACAGAGGCAATTACCCTTCATCCTTGGTTGCTAAGTGTGTGGCTGACCAATAGTCAGGACCTTTGGCAGACGTTAACTGCAAGGGCAATGTTTTGTGTGTGTGTGTGTGTGTGAGAGTGAGAGAGAGAGAGAGAGAGAGAGAGAGAGAGAGCATCAGTGAGGAGAGATCTAGCAACTGGTTGGTGGATAGTGTGAAGACAATATCAAGAATATGGGTTGAGTGTAGCCTTACTAATTAAAGGTGAGCAGCGGTGGAGAGGAGAGAGAGCAGACTGAGCTCGCTTTTTCAGGATAAAGGGCTGCAAAGCAAGGCACAGAGGGCATCTTAACAGCCTGTTATTTGTGCCCTTATGCCCTTGTCACTTTTAATAATTTTTTTTGGAATTCTTTTTTTCAAAATTAAACTTTAAGAGCAGCAAAAGATGCAGAGAGTATGTATGAAAAGAAGGACAGAGAGAGAGAGAGAGAGAGAGAAGAATAAGAATCCCCCACCCCCGAGAGTGAGCACCTGTGTCATTGTTATGCTTGTTGCCTAGTAACAACATTCTTCACCGCCCACCACAGAAAGAGTGGAAGCCATGCATGAAGACAGGAACAAAGAATCTCATATTTCATGGACATTTTTAAGGAGTTTATGTCGGGGATGTGACTGCATTGTGTCTGCATTCATTTTTTAAAAATGTTTACTGTCAGTAATAAAAGTCATATACATTAAATCTTAGTGAAAATATGTTCTACTTCAAATTTATTTCACTTTACACAAAGAAATCAAACTGAAGAATAAGTTAAGAGTTATACAATAAATTAACAAAATCTGTCCAGAACCTTAGCAAAAATAAAAAGATAAATAAAACAAATAAACATTTTCATTTTATAATGAAAATTTTTAAAAATCATTATTTCATAAAAAAGCAAAATGCTCAACAATATGTATACTACATTTATGTCCATAACGTAAAAATAAGGGCAGCAGAGGTGTATGTTTGTGAGGATGCACAAGGTTGTAACTCTGCTTGCAATGACAGCCTGAAATATTTATACTTCATCTTGCCATAACAGTGCCACAATGACACCTGTAGAGTTAATTAGTTAGTGCGCATGTCTTATGTGCAGTTTTGTGATGAACACACATGCTAAAGCACAAATTACAACAACTTGAAATAAATTATATAAATATTGTATATTTTTGCAAAAAAATTGTACAGTAAAATTTGGTATATTTTTTATCTTTGCAATGATTCTATGATTATGTTTCAGTTTAGGTGAGCACATAGCTGGGTCTCACTCTTGCTTGCATTTACAGTACATGCTTAATTTGTTATATTTGCACACACACACACTACCTACTTCCTACTACCTACCCTTTACACAAAACTTTCTACAATTTTAGATTTTCAAAAAAACTTCATTCTGTATAATGAATATGATGATATAAGCTTGTTTCCTTATGGGGACCAAAAAAAAAATGGTCACATGTTGGGTAAAATATGGACAAACCCAGCGATTGGGTTGTTTTGACCCAGCATTTGGGTTACTACCCAGAATGTTGGGTTAAACATTTAACCAAACCGCTGGGTCAAAATAACCCAATCACTGGGTTTGTCCATATTTTACCCAGTGCTGGGTTGTATTTAACCCAGCATTTTTTAGAGTGGTCAAAATCTATTGGTATTACTATCCTTGTGGGGACATTTGGTCCCCATAAACGAAGAGAATACCAGTTGCACACACACACACACAGAGAGAGAGAGAGAGAGCGAGAGAGTACAGCTAAAGCAGTACTTCTTTTTTAACTCCAAGACCATTTTTTGTCTAATACAGGGGTCACCAAACTTGGACCTGGAGGGCCGGTGTCCTGCCGAGTTTAGCTCCAACCCTAATCAAACACACCTGAACCAGCTAATTAAGGTCTTGCTAGGTATATGTGAAACTTCCAGGCAGGTGTGTTGAGGCAAGTTGGAGCTAAACTCTACAGGAGAATGGCCCTCCAGGACCGAGTCTGGTGACCCCCGTCTAATATTTACACATATTCAAAGGCCCTTCTATCAAGGCTTATTATGTACACCAGGTACATAATCTGTTGCAATAAAAATTAATAAACCCAAAATTACTTCTTTTGTACTTACCTGCTGAGGCCCAAGTGGATCCCGGGTCACTGGCTGAAAATCACTGAGGTAAGGGAACGCTGAAAACTGAAATTGGTTTCCTCTGCTGAGTTAAAAATCAAGATAACTTATTTTATTTTCTGGGCTGGTCGAATGTTTGTAGGTTTAAACGCCACAATGACTGACCCAAAAGCTATTACTATAGTAAGGCACTTAACCCTACAGTAGCTTAATTCAAGGGATTTTTTCCTGTGATAAATGTAAATGTAGTAAATGTGATGAAAGTTGATTTGGATAAACACTGCCGTACACCTAGAATGAAATGGTATGTTTACAATTTTACTATTCTGGCCCTGAACATCTGTTTGGTTTTCTTAGCTTGACAGAAAGGTTTTGTGTGACCTAACGTCCCAAAAAGTATTAACACTTCACATCCTAATTGTTCCTCTTATCTTTTGCATTAATATTTGTGTTGGAACAGACAGTAGTTAAAAAGTAAAGTTTCCACACCAATGCCATAGAAGAACCATTTTGGATCCTTTCACTTTTATAACCTTTCAGTGAACAGTTCTTCAAATTTACTTTCTTGGTGTGAAAACATTTAATAATCTGAAACACACACTTCCACTACCCTTTAAAATCCCTTTTGTACAATGGAAAGTTTCCACTGATGTTAGACGTTTTTCATGAAACCGTAGATGCCAGTTAATCTTTATTTTTAGGAGTGTAGATTTCATGTAGGTATACAAACTATATAGTTATAGATATACTAGCTGCCTTGGAGAAATTGTCAAAGTTCTTGTATGGATGTCAGTTGCTTTTGTCTCTTCATATAATCCCAGGTGAAGATGTTGAGGTCAGGGTTCTGTTGGTGCCATACCATCTGTTGAAGGACTCCATGTTCATACAAAAATCTCATGGTAGTGGTACTATTAGAATACTGGTAATATCTAAATCTGGGAATTTAAAATTGATTTAAAATTGATATTTCCTACTGGCACACTGCAGCCAAATATCCAGCTTAAAACATATATTATTGTAAAGCATCTATAATGTGCCTAAATATTTACCACACTACTGTTGTAGTGTACTGTAGTGGAGTAGTTTTTTAAATATTTATATTGACCATATTGTGCTTGCAAACATGTTCAGGTTTTCGTCACTTTCTCACTTCAACAACAAACACAACAATTCTGCCATTCTATGTAAACCATTTGCCTTTTTACCCTTTGAAGATGTCTATCATGCAGGTATGAAGAGACAACAGCATTTTTTTTTTATTCCTCTTTCTCTTTTGCTCTACCTGCTTGTGAGCAGAGAGCAGCACTGCTAGGGCTGTCATACTGGATCAGAGCTCCACTGATTACTTCCACTTTGTCACCTTCATCAGGAAATTATTCTGACGTGCACTCACACCCTGGTCTCTCCACATCAATATGTGTGCTGTGGCAAAAAATGCAGATGGGAAATAAATAATAAAAAGGAGGGCATGCTCCAGCTTTACACTCTTATTCCCTCTATTTCTTTTTGAGCCATGTCTTTGCTTTCCTTTTTCTTCCCTTCTGTGACCTTACCACTTTATGTGAGGAAAAACATCTGTGTCTCAAAATTCCATTTCTGTCAACCTGGACTCTAGCATTTTGAGAGGATAAACATTTTTTTATATATATTTCTGTAAGCAGACATTATTCAAGTATACATTGTGGTAGTTTGATAGGACACATGGTGCCAAATTATTCAGTTAAATGGACTATTCCTTTTTGAGGCAAAATTTTTGTCTTTATCTCGACTGCTCTACCATATTAGATCCGCCTGTCTTTTTTCCTCAACCCCTCACACCCCTCTAAGATTTGTGTGTACCAAGGAATTGCCAATATTCCTACAACATAGCACGGCACAGCATGAGCATTCCCTGCAGAATCCCTGAGGGATTACTTAGACGACTGCACCATCCCTGGGGTGGGCATGCCTGCGGGAGACAAAGGGTTCAGACCCAACAGTACCACTGCAAAAAGTGAGAAATCTGTCTACACTTTTTTTTCCCCACTGAAATAGTTTTTTCATACATTTCATTTATTGGATGTCATTTTGACTGCTTGATTTTTAGCTATATAACATAAAACAAGCACATATGTGAAATGTCCTATGTGTGTTTTCAGGGAACCTACTTCAAATCAAAGTGTGTGAATGGGTTCAAGAACAGAGGAGGATTAGAGCCCTCTCTGCTGTGGTTTAATCTCAGCATTCAACATGTTCTTAATGGCCCTTATCACTTTGTCATCACTAGTCAAGGGGATTTGGCATAGATGAGGCTGCTGTCAACTGCAGTCATATTCCTCAGGCCCTGTACTGCCAGCTATTCAAATGCTTGATATTTCCTGTCCAACATACTTCCCTGAACAGCAAAGAAGCCTGCGAAGAGTCAGCAACAAGTATTAAACATACATTTATTTGCATTACATAATCAGCCCCATATGTGTGACTTTTCTGAAAAGTAAACTTGCTCGGTAGCTTACCTGGTTCCATATCCATGAAACAAGAGTCAAGATAAAAGAGGTCAAAGCAAAAATACATGGTTACTCTAGCAAATGCAGTTTTAAAGGTTCTAATATATGCCATTTAGGTACTAATATGTGCACTTTAGGCACTAATATGAATCTTTAAGGTACTAAAATTAAACCTTAAGGGTAAATAAGGAACAAAGGTGTACCTTTTGAAAGGGTACACCGCCCCAGTGACGCAACATATTATTATATTACAGAAATGTTGTCACAGGTACGTTTTGCAGTGAGCCTGGATTGATTTTCTCTGGTCTATTTAAAGTTTTTTTCAGGTTTATTCAACTTGTATATACTGAGTTGTATATATTTAGTATGGAACAATAAAAGTGTCTGACAAAATTCCAAAATTCACAAGTAACATGAATTTTGTACCTTGATAAATAACAGGGGTATAGTTTGCAATTTAACCTAATCTAATCACCCAGAAGAGGCTAGCTAGTTTGGAACCAGGTTTTTTTAGTTTTGATATCGCTATGTTTCCCATAAATTGTTTGTAAGAGAAAAAGTCCTTTGTTCCCTTTTCCACACCTTCAAAAATGATTCTGTCCTCACAATATCCAAAGCCTGATTTACCCAAACAACCGTCTACCCATCAACCTTCAGTATTCCATCCACCCAAACCATCCCCCCAAAACGCACCCTTTCCACGCATTACAAACCGCATGGGATTTCAATCTCTCTTTAAAGCTTAACGCCTCTGGGAGCCACTCTCTTTTCCATGTGACATTTTTGCATTCTAGGGGAAGATGGGAATGACAATTCTTGTTTCTTCACGTATTTTCTTCCTGCTTTTTTATCCCTTGTGATAGTTTGCATTACAGTTACACAGAGACATGAAATGTATGCTTGCATTAGGATAAGGGAAAGACAAGAAATATATACAAATTATGACATTTAACTGCACATTTGATTAAAAATCTCACCATTTCCTGTCATCAAATTACATCTCACATTTTTTTTGTTTCCTTTATTATTTGAACACGTAAAAGCATCACAACAACAATATACAAATTTTTAGTTATCTTTAAAACAAAAAAACATTTACACATGCAACATTAGGGTAAAGACAATGAGCAACTTATTGGATAATTCATTTCGGAATGTGTAGTTTACTGTGTTGTGAGAATCAAAAATGCATGTCACAAATCTTACTGTGATGTTCACGAAAGTTCTTTACTGGTTCTCTACCTACCTTTGGGCAGCTTTTTAAACAGATTCAACCCAAACTAAATGGAATGCAATTGAACTTTGAGAGACTATACAAACAACCTTAAATCACCTTTTCGCAGTGTTACCAGACTCTTAAAAGTGCATCATGGCAACAAGAAAATGTGCCCTGCACTGCAATATGCCACACAAAATCAACACAGCTGAAAAGAAAGGAACTTACTGGCTTTTGTTTACTGTTCATACACAGCGTGTCAATTACAAAACATCACATTAATAGTGGAGGTCACAACGTGTCCTCTCAAATTTGTTGGTTTAAGTGAAAAGAGGTATTCTTAAGATCATTCCATAGAAAGCTTGGAATATGATGGCAGAGAACAATTACCTTTATTATTATTGCATCAGATCTAAAAATATGTGTTGTGTTTTAAAGAGAGTTGTGATCTCATTGGCCATCAGTCCATTGGTTGACATTATTTTTTTCTGTTTGTAATGATTGTCTACTCAGTTCTTTACAAGAATGTCTGCAACTTGCACAGCCAAGACACTAAAACACATTGACAGACACTGAAAAATATACATTATGATGCTGCCAAAAGTACAATAATAATTACACAGGAAATAAAATTACAAAAGTTTTTTTTTAATATATATTTTTATTTAGCTTGTCCCACCCTCTCTCATGCTCTGTCATCCACAGTCTGGGCTTTTTGGGTCCTTGTAGCCCTGCAAGTTCTTTTTGTGGTAAGTCTGTGGCATCACTGCATATGATGTCACTTGTTTCAGAGTCCTAAAAGAACCATCGAAAGGCTTCCCCGTTGTTTACTGGCGTCCTCTGTTGAAAACACAAAAGGAATGTATAGAGAATCAGCATTATATATTTCATAACATTTTACAATAAAGTTAGTTAACATTAATTAATGCATTCTTAAAGCAAGTAGGTACAGTACAATCTATTGCTACATTTGTTCAAATGATTACCAGAAAGTGAATTTAGAATAATTATTGCTAATTTAGTTTTTTAGTAATTTAGTTAGTTAGTTTGTGTGTGTGTGTGTGTGTGTGTGTGTGTGTGTGTGTGTGTGTGTGTGTGTGTGTGTGTGTGTGAAAACTGTGAAGAAAAAATAAAATAGTTGAGCCAGTGGTCTAGGATAATGAACACACAAGCCTAAGCTAAAGCAATGGAGCATTCTATGGATTTAAATAAGCAAAATAATGTATAACGTAAGGTATAACGTAATGTCAAGGGAACCTTTTTTTTTTTCAAACAGCAAATCTATTCATCTATGTAAGTTATTTGAAAGGTGTTCAAGACCAAAGATGGTATAGGTTTTATTGATGGACGCTTTTATAGTGGTTCATATTAAATGAGCAAATCATAAGATCATTCAGTGCAAGGACATTTATTATCCAGCAAGCAAGTGGTGAGACATGACCAAATGTGACAACAAAAGGTAAGAGCTGTTTCATTCAACAAATGCTTAGTTTCACCTCATCACAACGTATTGCTTGCTTGAAGAGTTTATGAGCATGCCATTCTTTCCATTCAGATGTGCATGAACCTCAACATTTAGGCCTACTGCAACATACTAACTACTATAAAGGATTACAAACTAAAAACACCTTAAGCATAAGATGAGCTATGAATAATGTCATGAGGTGCCATGTGTCACCACATGACAAATAACTGAAAACAACAAGAAACACGATGTGAGCAATAATATAAATAAAATTAGTAAACAGTAAAATAATCTACACATTTTATTGATGCCACGTTGCACTGCTGGTAAATTGAGTACTGCATCTATCACTGAAGAATTTACAGAATTATTATGCACAGACTCCACACTTTCCTCAAAAATGCTTACGTTCACACTCAACATTCACGTTCGTACTTAACGTTCCGTAGGGACGTATCAGACAATAAGGGGAAATAACTGCTTTTTCATGTTGAACAGTGCAAAAGAATTTTCATGAATGTTTAGAATCATGAGGGGGTAAAGTGTGCAGGATGATGATATCTTCAGTAAATAAAAACATGAATGACTGAATGTAAAGAGCAGGAGAGGAACAGAAAGAGCCACGGACAAAAGGATTGATTTGCATAGAGTGCACATAGAGAACTGCCAACCACTGAAAACTAATCCCAGTGTTGAGATTTTTTGGAAAAAAGCCCTTTTCTTTTGAATGAGAAACAGTCTAGAGAAAAACACCGAAATAAGTTGTGGCTTAGAGAAAAAAAAAATGTTTCTCTAAATCCATATATTTTCCCCCATTGATCTGTCCCTGGTGGAAATGTGGCTCGCTATAGACAGTAATGACCCTGATGTGCGTGGCCGGCATGTCTGCGTTTTGTTAAGTCTTGCACTATCGATCTGGTTGAGGCTTCCTGAGTGCTGCTCAAATTTACTTCCAGCCGTCTCTCCTCGCCTCACTGCTGTGACCAGGCACAAAGAGAGCTCAATTAGCACAGCTCGACGACGGCTCTCTCCCGCCTGCGCACTCCATCAAAATCACTCCATCAAACCACCCAGAGAGAGGGGGGAGGGAATAGGAGATAGAGGGGGTAGTGATAGGACAGGGAGATGCAAGTAACTTTGAGGTTTTATTTCCAATCAAAAGATGCTAAGGCAAATGTTCAGCTGGCCAACAGGGCATACATACATATTAGCCTGCAGTCAATGCTTAGTCTTTAAAATACGTGGAAAATCATTTTTAAAACATATGTCCTCAAGGTTTCCAGCATATCAGAGACCACATTGCTGACCATATTACTGTTTTTTTTTTTATTGTTCCAGAATTCGATAATGTCAGAAACTGTAAAATATTAAAATAATATATTGTAATGCTGGCCATCATATCCAACATGATCTCATATGTATTCATATGTCTGTAAAATGTGGTTCTACCAAATGACCATTTACATACATTTGCATACACACTGAAATACCATATTGATATACAGAAGAGTAAATCCTGTATCTAAAATGTACAAACAGCTTTATAGATGTGGAAATGTTTATGAATCTTATTTAATATATGAATATTGGTCTCACTTTATATTCGGTGGCCTTAACTACAATGTACTTACATTTAAATTAATAATTTGGTACAATGCACTTATTGTTTACACACATTTTTACATTGTACTTATACTTTAAAAATTACCTGCATGTAATTACATCTGAAATTAATTTCTGTAATTACATTTATAATTACACTGTTAACCCATCCCTTACACCTTGACTCACCCTTAAACGTACCCATACCACCAAACCTGTCCCTAACCTTACTCGTATCACACCTCAGTAGCAGCCAGTGTTTTGCAATACAATATGAACACAATAAGTACACTGTGCTTTTTTAATGATGTAAGTACATAGTAGTTAAGGCCACCTAATATAATGTGGGAACTGAATATTTAATTTATTTAATTAATCAGTTGATTTTGTTATGAGCAATGAGATTTTACATTTTTCAGTTGCATTTATTAGTTGGCTGATTTGAAATGATAACATTTCACACTGTTCTGTGTCACTTCTGGTGCTGACTTGTTTTAAAGAATTACATAATTTCAACAAGATTATACTTTAAAATCCTAAAATGAGAAAAATTTCTGTAATGATTTAACTATTATTTAATGTGATATTTATTTTGTTTGCTGTAGAACATATCAGTTTTCTGAACATGCTGAATTAAATTCAAGCCTACATTCAGTGTTCTCTATCTGCAACCCCTGTAGCAACCATAACCACAAAAATCCTGCACTAATATATATATATATATATATATATAACTGTAATAATGTAACTATATTAATATATTTATGATTTAAAGGATATGTAAATATTTTACGTTTCTATATTTGTAAATACATAATTCTGCTAATACTTAGATTTTTCCAGCACATCCATATTGTAGGTTTCACTATCTACCCGAACATAAAAAAAGTACAAGTATATGTTGCAAAGGAATACCTATAATTGATAATTATTTTCATGTTATAAATAATAAAACCAGGCAGTCATATCAATTATTATTTATATAATTATTAATTATTTGTATCTGACAACATTTTCAAATCAGTGAACCCCCCTCCGCCCCCCACCTAATGCCCTCAAACAATCAGCATGAATATATTTATGTGATTGAGACGTATTGAATAAAGAATACAGTCTTATGTCCTGCTCACAAAGAAAGCCACGTCAAAGCTAAAATCAGGCAGGCTGAATGAAAGAGAGTTCTGGATGTGGTGGGGGTCTTAACAGCCATTGACACTGATTGGGGATGGCAGGTGCAGTTAATGACAGGGGCCGTACATGTCCTGCTCTGATTGAGGTGAGGGAGAGTAGAAGGAAAGAGAAGAGTGATGAGGTTGGAAGAGTGCTGACTCATAATCAAACCCTAATCAAATGCCAAACACAGACACAGACACACACACACACACGTACGTATACATATACATATACAGTGCATATATATATATATATATATATATAATTACATATATATATATATAATTACATATATATATATATAATTACATATATATATATATATATATATATATATACTGTTTTACACACATATATGCACACTGACTCTTTCTCTGTCTCACGCACATACACAGACACACACACATCACATTCAATCCCATCCCTTTTCCCCACCCCCAGAAGCCCTGATATGGTGATTCGTAGAGGCCACAGATAAACCACTCAAGTCCATGAGGATGATAATGGCAGATGCGTCAGAGACTCAAATTCAATCAGCACTGGGCTGTCAACGTGGATGATTTTAAGAACGACACATGCTCGCTGGCACACGTTAAAGACACATCAACTGAAGTAAGCCAAATACATCCCTGAATTTAAGGAATGGTTAGGTTAACCAAAAAAAGAAAAAAAGAAAAGAAGGAAATTATGTCATCATTTCTTCATACTGTTTCAAACTTGTTTGACTTGTATGACTATTAACAAAGAAGAATAAAAAAAAATAATAAAAAAAAATCTCAGTGTTGTTTTGTATGGACAAAAAAATCTTCTTTTGTGTTCCACGAAAGAAGGTCACATAGGTTTGTAACACAATGAGATTGAGTAAAGGATGACAGAATTGTTATTCTTTTACTATACCTTTAAGATACCCTTACAAAAAATGTACCGTTATAATCATATGTGCGTCGACCTAAATTTACATGGCTATTCTGTACTGTGAATTGTCAAAGTAGGATTTTTAGATTTAAGAGACAATTTAAGAGACAATGAAGAAGACTTAAGGTCCTTGCACACTAGAGTCCGAAATTTTCGTCATCCTTTCCTATCAAAATGCTTGCTACAGATGCGAAAACGCAGAAAATTGAACCTGATCTCAATTTATTTTATGACGGACGAAACTTTCGGAGGCAGTGTGTAAACATGATTGACACGTGAGGTCGTATTTATTTTTAACGTGCAAAAATTTCAGACTCAGTGTGCAAAGACCTTTAGGGAGAATCAAAATTATGAAGAATTTAAAGGCATTGTGTGAATGATATGTAATCCATAACAAAGTAACTGTAATCTGATCAAGAGCATTTAAAAAGTTTATATAATCGAATTACAAGCACTTCATTTTTGGAATCTGTTTGCATAATCCAGATTACATGTAATCAGTTAGTACCCAGCACATAATATGTATATGTAAAAATATGATGACATGTCCTTTACATTGCTAGAAAGTTTTCTTTTTAAAAAAGAAGGGTAAAGTTTAAGAAACAGAAAGCTGACGGGAAAAAAGAAAGAGGGGGGTTGGGTTCAGTGACAGTAGCTGAGACCCTCGTCTCTTCACGAGATGAAT